CTTAAACCAGATCTATGTATAGAAAAAGAGAAAGCAATAAGTTTTTCTTTACCCTGGTGACATTAAACCCCCTTATGTCATCCATTATTTCAACTCTTTCTGAAGTTTAATTGCATCATTGTCATTTTTCTTTAATTCATAAATGACTGATTTCAATTCAGTTTCTTAATTACACAATCATTTGATGTTTGTTAACTCCATGAGTTCTATACACTGTTTCAATGTTCTAGAACTTTCCCTCCGCAACTTTGTTTATCCGAAACAAATCCTTATGACCTTATTAACTGTTGATACAAATAATCATCTCTGATCACCTTCGTAATTATAAGTTTGTCAATATCTGTAATAACGTTGATTTTCAAATATTTTAGGTTGTAAACAACTGATGAGAACCTACCGAAATAAAATGAATCCATTTATTATTCTGCACCAATCTTTGTTCTTGCTCTCTTTAAAAGTGCAGATCATATTTTTTTTCGTTCATTCATTGATAACAACATTGACTGTCTGTATGACAGTATTTAATAATTGTACATCAACCAATTTTAAATCGTAATACTCGATGAATTCATTGAACTATTTCAATATAGTTTGATGTAGCCTCGTTTATGGTGCATACTTGATACCTATTCGAATAAAAATTTGCATTCGATAATTCTGTTCTAGATAAGTTGGTTTAATAAACTTGATATGTAGTCTATGTAATTTGTATAATTAAGGGTGGCCAAACCAAAACGTGACATCAGTCCATGAAGTCACTAACTTCTGGTCTGAGCTATGCTAGTAGATGCAGACTACTCGGTTGGGGGCCGCGTGACTATCGTAACCAATGGTTGGAGACTCTGTGTGACATGGCTCAGAATCGATCACAATGGCATAGGTGTACACAGTCTTTGTCTTCCCTCAAACTGAGATTAGAATTGCTTTATATCTTTCTTTCTACGAACCAATTCTTTCTTCTTGTATTATATCTCTATATGCAATCTTTCTCTTATATATTACCACCTCTGAATTAACTACTATGAATCCGGTGTCCATCTTGTTGTGTTAATGAGGTATGGCAACTTGGACCGATGCATATATGTGCCTGATCCTACGTTGTAGCGGACTGATTGACTGTAATTTGTATAAATACAACATACTAAGAAAATCTTATCCAAATTCAATAGCTCTATACTATTAACTTATTACTGTGAATATTTGATTTTCAACCGATTTGCCACTAATTCGTACCCATTACACAAAACAGAAACATGTAACTCAAACTTACTTACTTACGCCTGTTACTCCTCGTGAAGGAGCATAGGCCACTCACCAGCATTCTCCATCCAACCCTGTCCTGGGCAATCCTTTCCAGCTCCGTCCAGTTGTAATTCATCCTTTTCATATCTGCTTCTATTATCCGACGCAATGTGTTCTTTGGCCTTCCTCTTTTTCGCTTCCCTTCAGGGTTCCAAGTTAGGGCTTGCCTCGTGATGCAGTTTGACGATTTGCGTAATGTATGTCCTATCCATTTCCATCGTCTTTTCCTAATTTCTTCTTCAGCTGGAAGTTGGTTTGTTCTCTCCCACAGAAGGCTATTGCTGATGGTATCCGGCCAGTGGATGTTGAGTATCTTGCGTAGGCAGCTATTTATAAATACTTGTACTTTCTTGATTGTGGTTGTTGTAGTTCTCCAAGTTTCAGCTCCATACAGTAGAACTGCCTTGACGTTCGTATTGAAGATTCTCACTTTGATATTGGTTGAAAGTTGTTTTGAGTTCCATATGTTCTTCAATTGTAGGAATGCGACCCTTGCTTTGCCGATCCTCGCCTTTACGTCTGCATCTGAACCTCCTTGTTCATCGATGATGCTTTCCAGGTATGTGAAGGACTCTACATCTTCCAGAGTTTCGCCATCAAGAGTGATTGGATTGCTGTTTTCCGCTTTGAATTTGAGGACCTTGGTTTTCCCTTTGTGTATGCTGAGGCCTACTGATGCAGAGACTGCTGCTACACTGGCTGTCTTCATCTGCATCTGTTCGTGTGTACGTGATAGGAGGGCTAGGTCGTCTGCGAAGTCCAAATCGTCTAATTGATTCTGAGCTGTCCATTGTATTCCGTGTTTTCCTTCAGATGTTGAGGTCTTCATAATCCAGTCGACCACCAGAAGAAAGAGGAAGGGAGAGAGTAAACAGCCTTGTCTGACTCCAGTCCTTACTTGGAATGCATCTGTCAGCTGTCCTCCATGCACTACTTTGCACTGTAGTCCGTCGTATGAGTTCCGGATAATGTTGACAATCTTCTCAGGAACTCCGTAGTGTCGAAGAAGTTTCCATAATGTCCTCCTATCTACACTGTCGAATGCCTTTTCATAATCAATGAAGTTGATGTATAGTGATGAGTTCCACTCCACTGATTGTTCGACGATGATCCGTAGTGTTGCAATTTGGTCTGTGCACGACCGATCCTTACGGAATCCAGCTTGTTGATCTCGAAGTTGGGCGTCTACTGCATCCTTCATCCGGTTCAGCAACACTCTGTTGAAGACTTTCCCTGGTATTGACAGTAGTGTAATGCCTCTGTAGTTTTCACATTTGCTCAGATCTCCTTTCTTTGGAATCTTGACGAGGTGTCCTTCTTTCCAGTCCATTGGCACTTGTTCCTCCTCCCAAATCTTTTTGAATAGAAGGTACAGCATGCTTGTGGTTGCTTCGATGTCTGATTTCAGTGCTTCAGCTGGTATGTTGTCGGGTCCTGCTGCTTTCCCGTTCTTGATTTGTCTGACGGCCATTCTAATTTCTTCCGTCGTTGGTGGGTTGACATCTATAGGAAGATCTATGTGTGCTGCTTCGATGTCCGGTGGATTCATTGGAGCCGGCCTATTCAGGAGTTCCTCGAAGTATTCCACCCATCTGTTACGCTGTTGTTGAATTTCGGTGATTGGCTTGCCTTCTTTGTCTTTGACCGGCCTCTCTGGTTTACTGTATTTCCCTGCTAGTTTCTTCGTTGTATCGTAAAGCTGTTTCATATTTCCTTCTCTAGCAGCTTTTTCTGCCGTCGTTGCTAGTTCTTCCACGTATTTCTTCTTGTCGGCTCTAATGCACCTCTTCACTTGTTTGTTTGCTTCTATGTATTCAGCTTGTGCTTGGACTTTCTCTGCTCGTGTTCGGCTGTTGTTAATTGCTGCCTTCTTGTTCTTCCTTTCTTTGATCTTGTCCAGTGTTTCTATAGAGATCCATTCCTTATGATGGTGTTTCTTTAGGCCCAGAACCTCTTGACACGTTGAAGTTAATGCTTCCTTGATGCCTTTCCAGTTGTCCTCCATACTAGTTTCTTCTTCTTTCAGTAGATCTTGTAAGGCTTGGAACCTGTTGTTGAGAGCTATCTTGAATTCATTGAGTTTGTCAGTATCTCGAAGGAAGGCTGTATTGAACCTTTGTAGTGCTGTTTGTCCACTTGTCCAGTTCTTTTTTAGCTTCAGTTTTAAATTGGCTACAACTAGGTGGTGATCTGAAGCTACGTCAGCACCTCTCCTGGTTCTCACATCTTCCATTGTCCTTCGGAATTTTTTGTTGATGCAAATATGATCTATTTGGTTCTCTGTAGTGTGGTCCGGTGAGATCCATGTAGCCTTGTGTATACGCTTGTGTGGAAATATTGTGCCTCCTATGACCAATTTGTTGAATGCACACAGATTTGCAAATCTTTCTCCATTTTCGTTTCTTTCTCCCAGTCCATGTCGTCCCATAATATCTTCATATCCAGTGTTGTCTATTCCGACTTTGGCATTTAGATCTCCCATCAGAATAGTTAGGTCCTTTCTTGGCATTTCTCAATGATTGACTGCAGCCGCTCGTAGAACTGATCTTTAATGTCGTCGTTGCTATCATTGGTGGGTGCATAACATTGGATAATATTCATTAAGATCCCCTCCTTCTTTGTTTTGAATGATGCTTTGATGATTCTGGATCCGTGAGACTCCCATCCTACAAGTGCATTTCGTGCTACTTTGGACAGCATAAGAGCGACTCCCTGAGTGTGTGGAGCATTGTCCTCCTCGTGACCGGAGTATAGCAGCATCTCTCCCGTAGCTAGCCTTTTCTGTCCAGCTTGGGTCCAGTGGGTTTCGCTGATTCCCAGTACTGCTAAGTTGTATCTCCTCATTTCCATTGCTATTTGACTGGTCTTCCCGGTTTCCCACATTGTTCGAACGTTCCATGTACCTATAAAAATTTTTGCTCTGGTTGTTAGAAGGGGCATCGGCCTCGTGGCTTCCGAAGGAACTCGGCTTTCACCATGAAGCGTCATAATTCTTCTAACTGAAGACCTTCTAACTCCCAGGGCAGAGTTTAAATGGTTTGGATTATTTTTTCTGGTAAGCGTTTTTTTAGCGAGTTAGTTTTCTACGGGATGGGGACGCTAACCCCATGCCCAACCCTCCTCCTTTACCCGGGCTTGGGACCGGCAGTAACCCTATTAGAGCTACAGGCGGAGTTATGTAACTCAAAATCGAATACTTATTTTTTTTTGTGCGTGCTTATTCATTTCTTTGTGAAAAGTATGGATAATATTGTCAGTAAAATTGATATATGAAATATTGAATTAACTCTTAGATGGTAGCCTAACTGTGATAATTTTGTACACACAAAACCGTTTGTTTATTTTGTGATTTGTCACGTTTAGTGACATGTTTCTCTTGATCATTTTCATGATTTTCTAAGTCCATTGATCCGTATTTCCTTGAATCATATCTTTTATACCTAGTTTTTTTCTACTACCACTGATAATACTACTTATACTACACTGGAATTCCTCTGTTTCGATGTGGTGTAGTAACCTAAACGAAATAATATATTTACTAGATCCTACTTTGTGTACAGCTGACTATAGAATCAAATTCTTCACATTAAAATATAAGTCAATTATATATAACACAATATTATGTGTGTTTTTTCTCGCTGGCTAATCACAGCTTCGATTGACTGGATACAGCGCTTTTTCGGAAATCTTTTGAGTAGGTTTCTTATCTAATTGTCGATGGAATGCATCATGAGCATCCTGATCTTGTACGTGATGCATACTGGAATACTACAGACATTGTACTACCAGACTGGACAAAAATTGCAACTGATGGCGGTGCTGCAGAAGCCAATTTGGACGCATCAGAAGGAGCTGATAAATTTATTGGCTCGTTAGCAAATATTGATGTTACCGAACGTAGACCAAGTGTATTATTTTGGAATAGTTCAAATCTGCACCGACGAAGGACATCTTCAACGAGTGCAAAGTAAGTTTGTTTCTAAATAGTTTTTAATACAGCTATATGAATAATTGTGTGTAAAGTCCAACTATCAAATTGTGAGGTTATTACTGCTGGACAGATCAATGAAAATATGAAAGTTCTTATCTCGTGAATTAGTCTATGTATTTTTTTGTTTGTTTAGTAAACATTGGGCTTATAGTGTTTTTAGATCTTCCAGTTGTAAATTTTCGTTTCATTCGTTAACTATTACCAAATCTTTGGCAGGTAGTACATTATTATTAATTAATTGTAAACATAATACGTAGATTTATACCATAAATGTAAATTGATTTTTCACCGAACAGTGACCAATATTGTGTTTGTCCAGTTTTTTATTACTGACCGAATTTCATCAATCAATTTGCAGTGGGGACAATAATCTACGTGACTGAACATCATGTGCATTATGTTTTGATGTTAGATGATCAGAAGTAGTTGACAACAACACCCTGGAACTAGGTTCCACGCTAGTTGGTACTCGTCAATAAGACGAACCTTCAAGCTTGTTCAAGGAGGTTAGTCGCTGCCTGAATAGCTCGCTGTTAGTGTGTCGGGCTATCAAGCCGGATTGCACAAGTTTGAATCCTATATGAATAGTCAGTTCTCTGAAGTTTTGAGGCACCATTTTCTGACGACTACCGACTAACAAGAAACCTAGGTCCAAGGTATCGTGTCTACTATCTCCGTTCACTTATTGCCGAAAATATCTTTGGTAAGTACACATCGCAGTTAATTATTTATAGTACATCATCGTCATGTATTTTATACAAACGAATTCTACACAGTACTGAGATGGCTTTTCTAGTGTTCTGATTGATAATTTTGAGGCAGGTGAAGATTTCGAGTAGGGAATCGAACATTACCCTGCAAGTTGACTGGTTTTATAAAATTATCATTGTTAGCGTAGGCAAGATCACAGCAGAAATCAATATAGTAACTATAATAATCAAAAGCATCGTTTTAGTCCATGGTGTATAAGTATCTGATAATTGAATCACAATTACAAATAAACACTCATTTATGGCATTTATCGTACATCATATTGTTCAATGCATTAAGTAGGTGAAATTGATTGACATTAGATTTGCGTTTAATCTCTAGTTTAGGTTATTTGTCAGTCACTAGTTCCACTTTTCAGTTCATGGTTGTTTTTTTTCTAAAAAAATTAACTTGGAAAATACCATCTTGTTGACTACTTAACAAATGGATTCATGAATTACATAGACATAAATTCTGTAAATGTACTTCAATTTATTGTTGAAGTCGGATGATAAAGTTTAGAAATTCAGTGTAAAATAGTCCGTCAGTCAGTCATACGCAACGTATAACCTGGGACATATGTACATCGACGCAAATTGGGATACTTCAAAAGCACAGTGGAATGAAAATGTCGGTACAAATTCCAGAAATGGTAGAATTAGTAAGTGTTAGTAATAGAAAAAAATAGTAATCTAACATGCGATTAGAGAGAATATAAATTAGTGGAATAAAAAACAAACAAAGAATTTACAAATTTAAGATCTATGAGAAAGACAAATAATGAATAATTTTGAGCCATTTCATCCAAAATCTCTAACTCTTGGTTACGATAATTACATGAACCTCATTTAAGTAGTTTGCTTAACAAAACAATGTTAACGGGGGAAATAGAAAGTTCCTAAGTCAGTCTCTTATAATAAAAGCTGAACACTCATAATTAACTATTTTTTTCTCATAAATTTCACTACAAGTAGCCAATGTTATTGGAGCCCCCAAATGCCCTGGTATGGCCGAAAGTGGGGTAGGTTTGCCCCCCCTCTCGAACTGCTCTCACACGGTCACGCGTATACAGCCTCTGTCAGGGAAGTCCTACTCACTGCATTCTCGTGGCGGGGGTGTTGTTTACGAGAATGAGAGGACGAAAAGCGAATGTCCAGCGCGTTAACCGGATTCCAAACCAATGGTGCACATGGGCTCCAGTATCCTGAGGGAACAAATGGCGTATGAACCAATCGTTGATCACCGGCTACCATGGGATTGCATCTCCTTACGATGCTCCACTGCCTTGTGGATTAGACGTTTAGGTCAAAGGCTCGGGTGTGTCCCCCTAAGATAACCACCAACTTCGGTCTGGGCACCCGGGCAGTATCACACTCCTCGCACAAATCGAATGATTTATGTGGCGCATATCTGTTTGGTGCCTCCTTGTTCCAATGTTTATATGTTTAAATAAATAAATAAGTAAAAATGTTATTGGAAATTTAAGTAGATTTAAACTGTTTTCATTGGTATATAAGGATTTCAAACCAGGAGTTTTATGTCCTTTAATCTGTATGAAATTGAACAATAAAACCTTTAAAATTTCAATTTATTTAACCTGTACTCACATATATAATACATGTAAGAACCCTGTACAATTGGTCATTATAAAGCAGCTGTATATAGTAAAAATATAGGTAAAAGTATACCATACTAACGGCCTTGAGTGAGCTAATCAAATGTAAGATAGCGCCTCATAAATTTTGCGCGAAATGAAAAGTGCAATAAAATATAGCTTATATGTTTATTATGAACTACGTGAAACTTGATATTATCTGATTTTTCATATGCTTTAAACTAAGCAAAAAGAATCTAGTATTCAATCAAACATTGGATATGACATGGTGTTAGATCTATCGAAACGTCCAAGTCACCTAACTGAGGTATGCGCGAAATTGAAGTTCTCAAAACAACGATTTGTCTAGAATAGCGGTTTTTTATTGACTAATACACAATAATTAGTTACAAACCTCAACTTGTGAGGTATCTATGGCGTTTAACGCGTTCTTTTGTATGGAAAAAAGGACTTGATGTAACGGTAACATAAAGAATAGTTACAATATAGGACAGTTCAAAAGACAGATGATAGCTGTGTCTAAACTTGGTAACAGTTTATCAACAATCGAAACCCGGACCAAAAGCAAAACAATATGGAAACTGTTGCGTTTAAACAAATACACAAAACTGTAGATAACTGTTACAGTGATTATAATGACAGATACAAGAAACGTATATGTAAATATTTCAGAATATTACACGACGAACTGACGTTACAACATAAGTCTAAAAATTATTGGGTGTACAACTACTTACCTAATGTAAATATGTGGTAGGAAACACTACACAAAAGAGTGGAAGAGTAGCGAGTAAGAACAATGTAAAACAAACTTAACACGTGGTGTGTGTGCTAAATTACGAGAAATGTCTGGTTCTGATGTATACTGTTTGTTCGATTATTCAATATGGTTTAACGTATTATTACAGTTATTTGTGTAGTTAGATAATACTCTCCTATTCTAACTGCTCACTTATAATCTCACCTTTAACTTTCTTAAGTGTATAAACAAAAAGCTAGCGAAGCTTTACTGCATTATGGTTGAAGTCAGCTAGTGACGAAAACCCTATAGTATTACAACCTAAATACATAACACTAGCCTAACTACTAATATGTGAACTTAACTATTTTCTTTTGCTATAATGAATAATTAAACGTGTAAGCGTTAATCAATCATATCAAAAGTATTATTCCACTGTAATGTTATTACTTTTCATTGTTTTATAACTAAACTGATTGGCTAATAAGTCAGTCATCCAAAGTCGTCAGTATAGTATACTTTTACTAAAATATCCTTTCATCATACAATCTATAACTTAATAACATATTAAGAGTTATTATATTCAATTGTATAAATTGATGTAAACTATGTGGTAACTTTTAAACTCTTTGATCTATTGAACTTGTTAACGTGTTGAGGAGACAGCATTTATCACTTGTGCCATTCTTTTCTTTCTCGATGAAACATAATGATTTCTAGTGTTCACAAATTTATTATTATTTATTTAAACACAAACATTGGAACAAGGAGGCACCAAACAGATATGCGCCACATAAATCATTCGATTTGTGCGAGGAGTGTGATACTGCCCGGGTGCCCAGACCGAAGTTAGTGGTTATCTTAGGGGGACACACCCCGAGCCTTTGACCTAAACGTCTAATCCACAAGGCAGTGGAGCATCGTAAGGAGATGCAATCCCATGGCAGCCGGTGACCAACGATTGGTTCATACGCCATTTGTTCCCTCAGGATACTGGAGCCCATGTGCACCATTGGTTCGAAGTTAGGGTTTTCTAACTTCCCTAGATGGATGCTTCATATCCACCAACCCGGTTAACGCGCTGGACGTTCGCTTTTCGTGCTCCGAATTTCGTAAACAACAACAGTGTGGCGTGAATTCAGTGAGTAGGACTTCCCTGTCAGTGGTTGTATGTGCGTGGCCACTTGAAAGCATTTCTAGAGAGGGAGAGCTGATTCTCTCTGTTCTCGGTTTACCAGAGCATTTTTTGTGTACACTAAGTAAACATTAATTATAAAATTGAATTATTATTATTAATTAAATTAAGTACTCATGATTTTATTTTCACTTTCATTATTGTTTGTGTTGCATTTATATCTATTGAAATAGTTATTAAATACACACAAGTATGTAATCTTTGTAAATTCCAATAAATTCTTGTACAACTATGCTGTTCATTAGGAATGCTAGTGAGATTTCTGTATTAGCTATCACTGTTTGTTTATGGTTTTTACTCCTCTAATTTGCTTCATATTAATGTTCATTGCCAAGATAAATGTGACCTTTGCTTAAGCATGTTTTACTTCTTTTTTTATTAGCATGTGTTTTATTATAATAGCTTTATGGTGTATATTTGTTTGCCTATTGTATTTATGTGTCTATACACAGTTTACAAAATTGATGTTTGACTGTAACTTTTATAATATATTTAATATCTTCTATGTTGTTTATTTGTATTCTCTCATATAGATAATTACTATTATTATTCCAGCTGGATTGGAGTTTTGAAAATGTTTTGTACTTATGATTAATGAACTCCTGACTATTATCTTATAACTTGACTTAATTCTTGAATTTGTAAGTTAATATTCGATAAAAACGATCTCAGTTGTTGTATTAATATCCCTTGCTTTTTAATGACAGCCCAAATAAAATCGGCCTTTGACGAATACAAATTAAACTAAGCTCCACACGACCTGTTCAACTAAACTGTTTATTAAATATAGAAATATGAACTAACGTTTTCCAGCCCAAAGACAGTACCTCATCCCTTATAAATGTTTTTATTTCTACCGTTTGTTATGATGTTAATCATGTGTGTGTATCACTACTGTTATTTTCATACTTTCGGTTCCCTTTGCAAATTTAGATAAAACAAAAACTGCATTAATTACAGTGCTCATTTTGTTTCTTTACTTTTTCTTCAGTTGCCAATAAGTTTGACTGTGCTGAATTACTGCGACACATTGGTATTCGAAAAAAACTAATTGTTAAACAAGAAACGATGTTTTTCGAATGTAAAAAACAGTTCAGAGTTATTGATTGAGATCATGAACCGATTGATGTTAGACCACCACCTTTGGAAACCTGGAAGCACTGGACGGCCGTTTCGTCCTATTGTGGGACTCCTTAGCAGTGCGCATTCACGATCCTGCTCGCGGGATTCGAACCCATGGCCTCCGGTCTCGCGCGCGAACCCTTAACCAACTGGACCACTGAGCCGTCATCCAATGGTGATAGTGTCTGACATCAACCAATCCATGAAATTGTGCGACCAACTTTCATTGTACTGAGGTAGATACCTGTCTCTACCCGACATGGATTAGCTCCACTGATCACGGCTTCTCACTAGAACTCCGAGAATTCCCTCACGAAGCTAGTCACTAGTGAGCATATGTTGATTACTAGTATAGGAGTTGTGGAGATTATTAAGTTTTTGATTGAGATCATGCACCGATTGATGTTAGTCCCACAATAGGACGAAACGGCCGTCCAGTGCTTCCAGGTTTCCAAAGGTGGTGGTCCAACATCAATCGGTTCATGATCTCAATCAAAAACTTAACAATCTCCACAACCCCTATACTAGTTCAGATTTAATTTTTTCCAGTCTAAATCATGAACTAATCTCAACTAGATCGACCACCATTGAAAATCTGAAAGCACTAGACTACCCTTTCGTCCTAGTAAAGGAGTCCGCATTTACAACTGCCTCCTTGGGAATCGAACCCAGGGACTTCGGTTACATGTGCTGACGCTAAACCTTTGGATCATTGACTTAGCATCCAACGGCGTTAATGACTACAACTGGTTTACGATATTGTGCAACCTTCATTAATTGTCTGCGGTGGATAACTGTCTCACACTCGACACCGATAAAACTCCACTGGTCTCGGTTTCTCACCAAAGTCCTAGGAGTTGCATCCTGAAGCTAGTCTCCAGTGCTCACCTGATTATTATTAATGTAGGGTATTTGTAATACCTCATCTCTAGTCTGTAACGCACTACTCACGGCTCTTCTTATAACGCTGCTACGGTTACTGCCGATCCAAAGCCCGAAAAATGATAAGGTGTCGGGCATGAGATCAGAAGACAGCATTTAACCACTGTCGAACACTATCAGAAAAGGCCAAGGCACAGACCGAATACACAGAAAAGGAAACAAGAGGGTGAAGAAAAACAGTAGATTCGACAAGCAGAAATGAGTATAAGGTTTAGCAATGGTGGCGGAAAAAGATGCAAATGAAGGAAATGTGAAACAAATACATGGTACAACGAATAAACTGGTAGGGAAATATAGTAAACCAAAGCGATTAGTCACGAACACAGAAGGCAAACCAATGACTGGGATTCAAGAACAGAGGAATAGGTGAGAATACTTTGAATAGCTCTTGAATAAACCAACTCCGCCTATCCCACCAGACGTCGAAGTACCACACACTGATTTCCCTATGAATGTCACTCGATCAGCGACCAAAAAAATCGGCACGGGTATCAGACATAGCAAGAGTGGGAAAGCATCAGGACTAGATAACACACCAGTTGAAGCACTAAAGTCAGAAATAGGAGTAACTGCAAACATGCTCCACATCTTATTGAGAAAGACATGTGAGGAAGAATAAGTGCCAACAGACTGTAAAGAAGGATACTGAGAAAGTGTGAGGACTACTAAAGCATCACATTAGTGTTGTAGCGAGTGAGAACTCTGATGGGGACAATGAATTTATTGTTTGAAGAAAATTATAGAATTCGTAAAACGTGAAAACCGTACATTAATTACTTCATTTACAAATCTCTCATCAATTGTCTTTCACATTCTGAACGATTTTTCCAAGTCATACACCCTTTCTATCCTCGTTCCGTTTTCCCCAACTCGATTTTTTTAAGCCTTCTGCTGCCATGTTTCCTACTTCCGACTGGCGTCGACACGCATAAGTAGTATAGACTATCACTACCGGGAAAAGTTTTCAACAATGTTGTTGAATCAGATGAAAGGTTCCGTAGAATACCATAGATTATTATTGAGCAATCATTTGAATGTGCTATCCGCCAATAAACTGTAATCGCTGCTTCTTTTTGTCTTCTTAGTTCATACGCCATCGGAATTTACTTAATAACGGTTATCAGGGTGATTGATGAACGTAACCTAAGGATTTATTTCGAAGACAAGCCACTACACTACAAGGTCCTTAACTACGAGAAAGGATTTTTCTTAGTGGAGAGTAAAACCTTATGGTAACTTTGTCACAATAGACCGCTTTGTTGTAGCTAGACGATTTGGATTTGGCAGATGACCTAGATCTATCGTAAACCAACACATAAAGGTGAAGACAGTCAGTTTAGTAACCGTATGTGCAAAAGTAGTCATCAACATACACAAGAAAAAAGCAAGATCCTGAAATACAACACAAAGAGCACCAACACAATTACAATTGGTGGAGATGCTCTGGAAGAGGTGTAGACTTTCAGATATCTGGTCAGCATCATTTGTAATTTGGAGGACTTGATGCATGTGTGGGTGCAGAGATTAACAAAGAGCAGTATTCCCACAATTGAAGAACATGTGAACATATGGAGCACCTGTCTGCAAGCCAACATCAAGGTCAGAATTTCGATATAAACTTCAAGACAGTTCTGTTGTACGGAGCTGAAACGTGAAGAACTACTACAACCGTCATCAATAATGTACAGGAATTTAAGAACACGCAAGATACTCAATATCCATTGACTAGATTGTCATTAACAACAAGCTGCTGTGGGAGAAAACAAGCTAGCTCTGGCTGTAGAGAAAATACTTTATAGGTGGATAGGATGAAGATTATGAAAATCATCAGACCGCACCATGAAACAAGCCCTGATTTGGAATCCTGAAGGGAAATAGAAAAGAGAGAGACCATGGAATACATTGTGTCGGGAATTTGAGGGAGGCATCACTGATTTTTTGAATATAAAGGGCAGGTTTGGGCTATAATTCACAAATTTGAATAATCCAGAATTAGGTTGTTTTGTTGGTTAGCTTAAATGTACTTATTGCATTCATTCTATGCCCAGTCTTAGTTATCGGACTATGGAACTACGTAGAACATTTGTCCTCGAAACTGTTTTTTTTTTGAAATATATTGAACAAAGCGTGTAAATGTCCATCGTTTGGATTGATGTAAGCAGGTGGAGATGACATATAGTGGAGACCATTTTGCCGCCGTTCGTGCTATTGAACAACGCGTCGTATGTAATGCGAACATGTTTGAAGAAAATACTTGTTAGGCCTATCTTTAATGAGCTTGACGTATGATTTAGTCACATTTGAATAAAAATTGGATAAATATACTTTTCTTTGCTGTTTTTTTCTGAACTTATATTATACAAGTGTTCAATATTACATTTATATTTTAAAGATGTATTGTTAGCGGATCATATACTGGATTAAAACATGCTCAATGCACGATTGCTTCGCTGCATGCTGATTGGCTAATTCTTATCTAATCAGCACCAGTCGATACCTGGAGAATACTCTAGAATCTTCTCATGTAAAAACTATAAATATACTAACGTTTTCCCTATTGCACTGCTCACTTGCTTCTTACTTCAATCTAACCTTGTTATTTGGAATATAATCTCTTTCCTGTTCAACCGTGTTTTGATTTGGGGACTTGTCGGATGATTTGGTGTCCAAGAATACTAAGCAATAGGAGTAGCTGGGTTATAACCGTAAGAAAGAGATTATAACGTGTATCTATTATCTCAAAGATAATTATTGATTATTGTATACATCCATCTCCAATTGTTGTTGTTTTTATTGTCATTAGTAAATTTTAATTATCATGTTCAACATTTTTTTCCAAATATTGATTTTATTATTTTTGTCTAGAAGATCTTGTGGTGGTCGGTGTTCGATATAATCCTTAAACTTCGTATACAGCTCGTCTAGATAACCGTTCTATATCACGTCCCAACGGTATATTAATCAGAAGGCAAATACGGAGTGTTGATTACGTTTATTACGAGACCACACACATATATCCAAATGTACAGATGCGTTAAACGAGCATAGAAGAGTTGTGCCGAAAGGCGAGCAAGCGATCGAGAGCCAGAGCAGGAGTGAGACGAGAGTACATATGTGTTGAATATGAATAACATGGACATATATATACCATGTGAAATGAATGAGTAATCGAATCAAATAAGCAGTTAGTAGTAAGACTAGCAGTGTGAATAAATGCGTAGGCCGTAGTCAATATTAAAGCATACTTATTTCATACAAGCACAAAATAATAAGGGTACAATAAGTTGTTATAGTCCGGATGACTTTGTCCGCTAAATGAGTTAGCAAAAGGGCTTAACTGAGTTAAATGAGAATAAACTCAATTGCACGTGAGTCACTATAATCTCCACAAATATCATAAACAAGAATTTTCAGCTTAGATCTATGACTTACATAGAGATATATCTTAATGACATATGGAAAACATCTTTTTTTTAAAAATAAGTATTACTTGTATTTTTTGTTTGTATAATCCATAATGAATTGACTAAATTTTGATGTTGTTGATCTAAAATAATGTGAGAAGTCTTTTTGTAATTTAATTTGTCTTAATTGAGATTTTCATTCACATCGAACCAAACAAACAACTTTGTTTAATAAAATTGAAAGAGGGATAATGCTGATTGAATGGAACAATGTGAAGTACAATCTTTTTTCCATACTTTGAAGAGTTCAATTCTCATCTTGAATATGAGAGTTGGATGTGTATCGTAAAAACAATCGTATTTGAATGATAACATAATAAACAAATTTAATACTTAACCATGATCTTAAAAAGAAAGATTTTTCTATTATAAACTTTGTGTTTTACTCATGGTTTTTAGTTTCATAATTATGATGGTTACTATGGCGATTGTTATGTATATATAATTACTATTGTTGACTATTAAATGGTTGTTTAGGTTTGATCTTCTGACACCATTCTCTTCTCTGTTCGCATAAAACGCTGATTTTCGTTCCTAGATACATTGCTGCGCACATATACTTCTTGTTCTCACTTATCAGTTGCCGTTATTTGCGTTTGCAGACATTCCCATTACGTGATTACTTACTTTGAATTATATCTATCATATTTGGAACTATTGGCTACTTCTTATAATTGTCGATTACGAGACCAGAACTCGAACACACATCCTACTGACTGCTTAAGTAAAGTCTCGCAATTTTCTATTTGTGTATATTATCAATTGTCTTGATACTTTTTGCATTATTTTGGAATTCAGCAGTAAGCTCATTGAATTTTTTATCACCTACCACCTGCTGTAATTTAGACAATTAACCCGCTATGTAAAAGTATGTGTGAGCCTAATTGAGCTCAATCTTTATCTATCCCCCATTGTTTGTTTACAACGACTTACCCACAGTTAATTAGCACTCATAAAAGACATGGATTTCTCGACCTTAACACTCTTGCTTCCCCATGCACTTGGCTTTTGCGTGCTCGCGAATTTTATTAATTATCATTAATACACACTATCCCAACAACTGGTGTTCTGGCTTTTGAATATTCTCGAGTAAATCCCCAGTACTACTAGGGGAAATGGTGCTGTAAGTTCTTTACTGTGCAGCTGTTCGTCCCTTTCCCAGCATACATGCCCTAGCACAGTACAATTTGCAGTCACTAATCTTTGGAGATTTGATCTTGAAAGAATCGCTACGACAGAGAAGTCCAGTCAATACAAAATAACAATTGTTTACGAAGGATCATTTGGATGCAAGGTAAAAGAAAATATATAAATCAGCTCGCCGAACTGTGTTGATAATTTTATTGAAAACTTTAGGTATTAATTCAATCCAAGACTTTCGTTTGATACCTCTTGAGTTATTTTTGTCTACGTAGATTTCCACCTTATAACTATGGATTCTACTTTACCATGATTTTGAAGATAACTAGGTATTATGTGCTTACTGAGGAAGAAAACAATATTCAATAAAATAGAAAATATATTTGTTTTAAATCGTTAATTGCAAAATACATCAATTAATTTACAAAAAAGTGCTAGGCATCTGCGAACTGGTCCGGTTCACCGAATCTTCCATTATCTACAATTTGTTTTGAAAAACGAGCGGTGGAAATTTTTAATCATTGAAAATAACGAACAAATAAATGTCGTTGACCATAGTTCATGATGAAATTCACCAGTATTTAATTTATTTATAAAATACAAATGTATGTACTAGGATTTGATTTACTATCCAGTTCCCTAAGTCAAGGCAGGCGGAAACCTGTTACCAACTGCTTGAAAAATTGAATTAACCACTAAGCCATCGTTCTTAGTAGCGTATATTTGACATTATGTTATTATTGTTATGGAACCGAATTATTCGGAACATAATTATACCCTTAAAAAGTCAAAACTATCTGAAATGAGGGCTGCGTTATATATTATTTTATTGAATTTGCTGCGATCTGAGATATTGGGGACATCCATCATACACAACTAAGTCGCACCTAGGCAACTGCACTTTAGTCTGAATAAAGTCAGAAAACAGTTTTGGCTTCATAGGATGTATGATTATATATTATAAAACTGTATCAAACAATAACCGAGGCTAAAAACTTTTATTTAGAGAAATGCGCATTACTGAGGAGTCTCACAATAGGACGAAATGGCCGTCCAGTGCTTCCAGGTTTTCAATGGTGGTCTAACACCAATCGGTTCATGATCTCAATTAAAAACAAAATAATCAATCAGAAAAATGATCAGGTTAACATAGCTAAACAGTCACCGATAAAACTAACTTTGAATTAACTATTGAAGTGTTAAAGAGGAAATTGTGCGATAAAATAATACGGTTATGCAACGTATAACTTACGAACACCTTCACAATTATCATGAATCATATGAATGAGATTCGATGAAGATTTGTCTAATTATTTGTTATGCTATTAAAACTCATTATTTCAAAAGAGCATGACTCAAATAACCAATGAGTATCAAAGGAAGCAACCACTAGCTATTAGAAGACAGCACATGGGTATACATGTAAGGTTATTGGTAAGCCGGGATAAGGCGAGTTCACGATTTTTTAAAGTCGAGATATCATTTTATGAGATTAGTTTTATATTTTGTAGTGTAACATTATTTTAGGTCAATATGTTTGCAACAACGAAGTGTAAATTTCGTACAGTATGATAGGTGTGGACTTCTAGAAAGAGGATGAGATGTAAAAAGCTTGAACAGTAATAAGAAATATTTTTAACAGTTGAATTCACGAGTCGATCTGAGCTAGACCAACATTGAAAACCTGGAGGCACTGGACAAGGAGTTCCATACTGAGACGAAACGGTTGTCCAGTGTTTTCAGGTCTTCAATGGTGATCCAGCGTAGATCGACTCGTGAATTCAACTGTTAAAAATAATAAAATCTCTACAAATCCCCCTACTGACAAAGGTATGTAGCAAGAAATTAAACCGAACTATGCACATAAGATTACTTCTCACAATAGTTTCACGTTGCCTTAGTGGTTATTAACTCGTTTGAAAAAGATGATAAACTTATCAAAGAAATTCGTTCAACTATTTAGTAATATAACTCACTATTCGTATGGTTTTCGAATTCCATACCCTGATCATTAATTTCATATTCATCATCTTCTGCGAAACCCTCGAAGTCTGAATTATCATCTTCAGGATCCGGATTTAATGCTTGACAGTCGGCTAGTGCTTTATACATGTCTTCGAGCTGTGCAGAATCTTGTGGAACCAAGCGGAGGACGGACGTAGAACCAGGGCAGTCTGGAGCGCGGTCACTATCAGAGTCTTCTTTTTCTTCATCTGAACCTTCTGCATCAATTTGCATGCCATCTTGCTCGTTCTGTGACTTCGTATCAGATAAATTATCAGTATTATTATTTGAATCCCATACACGATCTCCGTCAATCATTACTAATAAATGTGGGTGAGGGAACAAATTATTGGGATGATCTCCAGTCTGATCTACCGTATTCCTGGCAATAGCATGTAAGGTTATTTGTGAATAAGGAATAAAGAATTGTTTTGATGTACCTTCCCATGTAAAACATCTACAAGTATAAAGGAATCAATATTACTTCTATTTTCAAGGAGAACTTTTAAATAGTTATGAATATTCAATTTAGACTAGAGGTGGAGTGAAAAGTGACAATTAATGTGTAATTTTAGTCAACAGTAAAAATATAACAAGATCGATAAATATTTGTGCGCCAGGTTGCATCTTACTTATTTCATTCGTTTTAGTCAGTCAGCTACAACGTAGGACCAGGCACATATGTACAATGATCCAAGTTGCCACACCTCATTAGCACAACAAAATGAACACCGGATTGATAGAAGTAGTTGATTCAGTGGTGGTAATATATAAAAGAAAGATTGCATATAAGGATATAATACAGGAAGAAAGAATTAGAGGAAAGACAAAGACTGTATACACCTATGCCATTGTGATCGATTCTGAGCCATGTCACACAGTATTTTATTTCATTTCAACACATAAATATTGGTACAAGAGGGCACCAAATATATGTGCGCCGCACCATATTTGTGCGTGTGTGGGCTGTGATACTGCACGGGTGCCCAAACTGAAGCAGGTGATTTTCTCAGGGGGACACACCCCGACCTAAAGGTCCAACCCATAAGGCAGTGGAGCATCGTAATGAGATGCAATCCCATGGTAGCCGGTGACCAACAATTGGTTCATACGCCATTTGTTCCCTCAGGATACTGGAGTCCCGACCGTTGTTGCTACCTTGACGTGGTGGTCGGGCTTGCCTATCGTGATGAAGCAACCGAGCTATACTGGCTGGAACAACCGTTCCTCAAGGTCCTACCATGTCAGACAGGTCGGTTGAAGAGCGGTAAGACTAAAAGCAACAAACCCAAGGTCCGAAGGCGAAGTCGTACTGCTGACTGTACAGAGGTGTGACAGCAGTAAGGTGTTTCCTTCAGACAACCAGCATGACAGCGATGCTGCCTTCCCACAAGGAGGGGTGGGGTTAGAAAAGGTCGACCCTAAAAATGCACACCTCGCCTTATCCCACGGATATCCGTCTCCGGCGGTAAGGTCTCAATAAGTACGGAGCTAACACAAAAATTACCCATAACAAGGTCGTGTGTGACCGACCTCAAGCAGTTGTCCCTTGGGCACTGCGGTCACGCTCTCAGGTCACTAAGACCACCTTTAATCCAATTTCCTTTTCAGGTACCTCCAGAACAACCCTTCCACGGTGTGGGCAACCGGGAAGTGATAACCGCCCTCATACTTCTAACAGCACTCAAGACCACTGTATTCATAATCAACCTCCTCTTCAATTCCTATTATTCCTCCTACATCGACTTTCAACTCTATATTTCCTCTCTCGGCTTCCACCTCAAGTGTCACCGTAGCCAACGATTCTAGTGCGCAAAACACTGTCCCAGGTCTACTGAAACCTCGCTCCAAACTACACATTGGAGCCTTCAACGTACGCACCCTATGTCAAATCGGTCAGCAGGCTTCCTTGGCTAAAACCCTAGAGTCTCTTTCCATTGATGTATGCTGTGTCTCCGAAACACGCATACAGGATTCCAGTGTGGTCATTCACTTGACCTCACCTCGGCAAGACGGAGAGCCAACGAGATACACCCTTCGTGTGTCTGGTGACCCGATGGCAAGTTCTCGTGGACTGGCAGGTGTAGGCATAGCACTAAGCATGAGGGCCGAACAAGCACTGCTAGAGTGGATCCCCGTCAACAGTCGTCTATGTGCTGTTCGGCTGAACGGCTACGTAAGAACTCGGAAGGATAGGGACACACGTCGTTGCCTTTTTGTCGTTTCTGCCTACGCTCCCACTGACTGCAGCTCAGATGAAGTGAAAGATGAATTTTACAGAAAGCTGTCCGAACTTCTTCAGAAAGCTAAACGCTCAGACATAGTACTCGTAGCAGGTGATTTTAATGCTCAGATAGGCAGTTTAAACCAAACAGAAAGGCATTTAGGTGGATATTTTAGTATTCCGACACAGCGAACAGATAATGGTGATCGTCTGCTGCAGCTATGCTCAGACAATCGTTTATTTTTAGCAAACACAAATTTTAAGCATAAGGAGAGACATCGTCTAACATGGCGACCCCCTACACCAAACCAACGATGGACTCAAATAGACCATATTGCCATCAGTCATCGTTGGAGAGGGTCGGTAGAAGATTGTCGCTCATTCTGGAGTACCTGCTTGGACTCCGACCATGCCCTAATACGGGCACGCATCTGCTTGCGCCTCACTGGACGCAAAAAAGCCACATTAAAAAGACCCATTAGAACTGAGTTGAGTAACGAGAAAACCAAAAGTAGGTTCCAGGAACAACTGAGGTCACACTTAGGTAGTTGTGAAGACGAGGCTGACCCAGATGTTGCTTGGAAACATACAAGCAGCTGTGGAAACAGCAGTGACATCTATTAGTGACTTAAACCACAGAGTTACAAGGAACCAGTGGATTTCTTCAAGGTCTGTCACACTGATGGATTCTCGCAAACTCGTCCCATCAGGTTCTGAACATGATGAAGAGCGTAAACAAATCAGATCTAGGTTAAGAAAAAGTCTAAGGAACGACCGTGAGCAGTGGTGGGTAACGAAAGCAAAAGAGATGGAAAAGGCGGCGACTATAGGGAACACAAGACAGCTTTACAGACTAATAAAAGAAACTGGAATTAATAAGTCAAGTGTAAGTGAGATTATTTCGGAAAAAGATGATACTCTCATCTGCTCCCAGTCCAGACGTTTAGAACGATGGGCGGAACATTTTAGAGAACAGTTCAGCTGGCCTTCAGCTACTCTACAACTACCCTCCATTCCCAGACAAAGTGAATGGAACATTGAAGTAGGTCCCCCAACTCTTGCTGAAGTTGAGAAGGCTATAGTTAATCTGAAACGAGGAAGGGCAGCTGGTCCAGATGGACTGGCTCCAGAAGTCTTTAAGGATGGTGGTCCAATTTTAGCGATTAGGTTGACTAATATTTTAGCTAAGATCTGGGAATTAGACGTTATCCCATCTGACTGGTCGCAATCACTTATCGTCCCAATATATAAGAAAGGGTCAAAATCATCCTGTGACAACCACAGAGGGATTAGTTTAACAAACATAGTATCTAAAATACTGGCCTCGATAATTATCAAACGCCTAACTAAGACTCGTGAACTACAAACACGAGAGAACCAAGCTGGCTTTAGACCTGGTCGTGGCTGCATCGACCACATATTCACCATTCGTCAGGTTCTAGAACACAGGCATACCTATCGGCGTCCGACGATGGTGGTCTTTCTTGACTTAAAAGCAGCATTTGACTCTGTAGACCGCGAGACTCTGTGGCAGTGTCTGTCATTGAAAGGCGTACCTCAGAAGTACATAAACCTTGTGAAGGCTCTTTACTCGAACACTACTAGTCGAGTCAGGGCTTATGGCGAACTGTCATCTACTTTTGCAACCTCAAGTGGTGTCCGTCAAGGCTGCCCACTTTCTCCATTTTTGTTTAACTTCATCATAGACCTATTGATGGAAATAACACTCTCGTCGACTGAATTCTCGGGTATTGATCTCCTTCCAGGAGGTCCACTTATCGACTTAGAATATGCAGATGACATAGTCCTGTTTGGTGAAGACGCTGACAAAATGCAGAGTCTTCTGGTAGCACTAAGCAACAATGCCAGAATGTTTGGGATGCGCTTCTCTCCCTCTAAATGCAAGTTGTTGCTTCAGGACTGGTCTGCGTCAACACCTGAACTAAGGATAGGGAGTGAAGTAGTCGAACGAGTTGACAACTTCACTTATCTTGGAAGTCTGATCAGCCCTAATGGGTTGGTGTCTGACGAAATCTCAGCACGGATTCGTAAAGCTCGTTTGGCTTTTGCCAACTTACGTCACCTTTGGCGGAGGCGAGATATCCGTCTATCAATAAAAGGACGAGTATACTGCGCGGCTGTCCGTTCTGTTTTAATTTACGGCAGCGAAACATGGCCCTTAAGAGTAGAAGACACCCGTAAGCTACTAGTATTTGACCACAGATGCCTTAGAAATATTGCTGGCATCTGCTGGGATCACCGGGTAAGTAATAGTGAGGTTAGACGCAGGGTATTAGGGAATGATGGTAAATCAGTTGATGAGGTTATGAATCTTCATCGACTGAGATGGTTGGGCCACGTATTACGTATGCCTGAACACCGATTACCGCGACGTGCAATGCTAACCGGTGTAGGGGATGGTTGGAAGAAAGTTAGGGGCGGCCAAACCAAAACGTGGCATCAGTGCCTGAAGTCACTAACTTCTAGTCTGAGCCATGTTGGTAGATGCAGACTACTTGGTTGGGGTCCGCGTGACTTTCGTAACCAATGGTTGGAGACTCTGGGTGACATGGCTCAGAATCGATCACAATGGCGTCGGTGTATACACTCTCTGTCTTCTCTTAAACTAAGAGATTAAGATCACTTCACATCTTTCTTTCTACGAACTAATTCTTTCTTCCTATACTATATCCTTATTGCAATCTTTCTCCTATATATTACCACCTTTGACCTAACCACTCCTATGAATCCGGTGTTCATCTTGCTGTGCTAATGAGGTATGGCAACCTGGGCCGATGCATACATGTGCCTGGTCCTACGTTGTAGCTGACTGACTGACTGCTGACTGATACTGGAGCCCACGTGCACCATTGGTTTGGGATCCGGTTAAAGCGCCGGACATTCGCTTTTCGTCCTCTCGTTTTCGTAAGCAACACCCCCGCCACGAGAATGCAGTGAGTAGGACTTCCCTGACAGAGGCTGTATACGCGTGGTCGTGTGGGAGTATTTCGAGAGGGAGGGCGGTCCCATCCCACTCTCGGCCATACCAGGGCATTTCATGTCACACAGTCTCCGACCATTGGTTACGATAGTCACGTAGACCCCAACCGAGTAGTTTGCATCTACCAACATAGCTTAGACCAGAAGTTAGTGATTTTATGGACTGATGCCACGTTTTGGTTTGACCGCCCTTAACTTTCTTCCTACCTCCTCCAACAATAGTCAGGATTGCGCACAGTGCTAATAGGTGGTCTAGACGTATATTATTTCTTTGGAATCCGTACACAGGGCCCAAGGGTAATTATCCAGTTAGCTTTGCCTAACTATTGGTGAGGACTAACATGAGTTTTTTTGAGATTTGTCAGCAACTTGTCGCGATTTTATTGTCTTTAAGATAAGTGATCTGGATGAGGGAAAGTGAAATGTAAGGAAATACACAGTACATATAAAAATACAACAAATGTGATTTCTCGGTTATTTAGTTTAATTCTTTTTATACGAGCAAAACTGGTTTTTCACCAACTATTGGAAAGTAAACTCAGTATTTTAATAATCCAGTATGAGTGATAAGCCTAACGATGTCATTATATTTCATGTAAATTTTTAATATAACCTATTTCCATAACTTACTCCTCAGATATTTTTAAGGTTCCTGTGTCTATCAGAGAAGAATCCTCATAAAGTGAAATATTAGATTGTAGAAAGTGTACATCGGAATATTCGCCGTCAGCGACCATTTGTGCAAAGTCCAGGATATAACTAAGTTAAACGAGCTTGAATAAGAAACGTTTGTAATCGCTAACTAGATTGGAGATTCTGAAAAGTTAAAATGGATAGGATAAAAAAATAATGAAAAAACTTCAAATTTCAGGTAAAACGAAATGGAAATCTTAATTAACCTTATCAATAAACTGTTTCACAACATCCACAAATAAAGAACTACAAAACATGAGTAGACAACTGTAAGACTGTTATCCATTGAATGTTACAAGCATAGTTTCACCACTTAAAACACGATCGAGGATCTGGTTTACATAAGCTTGCGAACATAAATTTTTAATAGCGTGAAAATGCTGACTCCGAGTCTTTCCGATATTCTTGTTACGTGGTTCAAATACACTACATATTTTAAGTTTTTAGATAATTTCATGTCCCACTAAAATCTTGTTACAATTCACTGAGTACATGTATAAAAAAGACGTAAAATTTTATGGAGCTACATCAGTGAGTTTTCCCGATGTATAATAGGCTTACGACTAATTTCTTACTCTTTGCGCCTTGCAATCATTAATTAGTAGGTTATGTCCTTTTCTGGTTACTTGTCAGATTACTAATATGGATCCCTGGTAGATAGATTTTGTAATAATCTATTGATCCTTCAGAGCACTTCAACAATGAATCGTAAATTTATTTATTTATTTGAACACATGAATGTTGGTACAAGAGAGCGCCAATATATATGCGCCACACAAAACAATGAGAATTTAAAAACAAGAAAGAAAAAAAAGTAAGGAGCGTGAAAGAAAAGGGGAACAATAACGAAGAGATTGGTGTAAGGTAGTGTAATAATAATAATAATAGTAATAATGGAGGAACGAAAAGGTACAATCGGAAATCTTTCCGTTAAGGAAGAAGCAACCACTTTTTATGAAGAAAGTAAAAGAAGGTTACTGCAGGATCGCCACTGGCTTCTATTCTGAGCCATATCTGATAACGTCTCTAGCCACTGTGTAGCACCATCTCTCGGACCTCAACCAGGGAGTCAACACCACCATTACTTACATTCATCAGAGCTGTTTCCAGAATGTCATCGATGGCAAAGTTGAAGAGGAATGGTGAGATTGGGCAACCCTGCCTAACCCCACTGCTCGAATGGAACAATGGAGAGAGGTGGTTGTATGCCCTTACTCTGCCTGAGGTGTTTTTATATAGGGCTTTTAGGATGTTAATAAACTTCTCAGGCACACCCTTCTTCAATAGACAATCCCAGAGAACAGTCCTGTCCAACGAATCGAAGGCAGCCCTGATGTCAAGAAACACTACGATTGTTGGCCTTTGATAGGTATGGCGGTGTTCTAACATTTGGCGGAGGGTGGAGATATGATCAACACATCCTCGACCAGAATGAAACCCAGCCTGCTCCTCGCGAGTCAATCTTTCTCGGGTTTTGAACAACCTAGGAAGTATGACGGAAGCCAATAGCTTGGACGCAATCGGAAGTAGACTTATCCCCCGATAGTTGTCACAGGAACGACGTGAACCCTTTTTAAAGATAGGGACAACTATCGACTCATTCCATGACGTTGGTACACTCTCTAGTTCCCAAACCTTTGTAAACTACGTCGTCAATTCCTTAATCAGAAAGTCACCACCATCTTTAAAAAGAGCCAGAGGTAAGTCATCTGGGCTAGGTGATTTGTAACGCTTCAAGAGTTGGAGTTCCTTGCGGACTTCCTCCTCGTTTTGTGGATCAGTCGTCACCGGCCATGGAGGGCAGGACAGTCTGACCGATGTTGCCGGAGCAACAGTGTTATATCCTAGTGAATATTAAATTACAGGTAATTTTCCAAGGACTATTAATGGACTAATATTCTATAAATATTCTTATTGTATAATTATTCAACAATTACATTACGTATATTTATATTCCTCTTATTATAAGCTTTATTTGACCTATAACTTATTATTGTACGGTTTACGCTTCTTAAGTTATGTTCAGTTTATTAACTACTGCCTCCCACATTCACAGCCACTTTTGGCTTATTTGTGTACAAATATTATTTCCTATTTTATGGTACGTTGCGGTTTGTCTGATTGATATATAAACCAAGTATGTCTGAAATAAATGATCTGCTCTGTTCTGGTCTCATCTGCTCTGATTCGGAAGCTGGTATTGTGTTCTGTACTCAAGTGGAAGGGCTCGTAGGACATAGGACCAATAAGGACGCTAAACTGCCCACACCGGTTGAACGTCATTTGTTGGCCTAGTGTGAAGATTCGTATAAGTCGTATTCGATTGGTAGGTAAATCGTGTGATAGAAAAGTCAGACGTTCAAGGTCATAAAAATTGGCGACGGGGATTTTGGCAAACATAACAAAAAGGCCAGTTGAACTGCCCTTCGAAAAATTCTGCCCATCGTCCAAGACGTCGATGGATGTTAGTCATTGGCATCCCATCATCCTCGCAGATTGTTTCACTCACACCAGACTTCTTGCTGCCAGTGGCTCGGATGAGTTGGAAGAGCTTCCGGTAGTTACCAGATGCAGCTGCTGCTTCCAGCTCATTAGCACGCTTCGACCACCAGGCTTCTCGGTCCTTACGCAAGCTTTGCCCAATTTCCTTACGTAACATCCTTCGTTTATGGTCAAACTCACGGTCACCCGGAGTATACCGATGGGCTCCAATGAGTTGTAAGGAACCTGCAGAAACCCAGTGCTTATAAGCGGGACGTTTCGCAAACCCACAACTGACTCTGTACCCGCCATTTTCATGGCGTCATGCAATTGCAAACAATGCTCATCTATACTTTTCGGTGGAGTGGTAGCCAGCCTAGAGGCTAGCTCGGTTCGATACTTACTTGCAACAGAAGTTGCAACCAGCTTGTTAATATCAATCCGTAAACAACACTCCCGCCACGAGAAGGCAGTGAGTAGGACTTCCCTGACAGAGGCTGTATACGCGTGGTCGTGTGGGAGTATTTCGACGGGGGGGGGGAGAACCCACCTCGCTCTCGGTCGTACCAGGGCATTTGGGGGATAGGCTTCAAGTTAGCTGTTTAACTAACACTACCCCAATAGCCGCTAAGGAGGTCTCCAATAAACAAGTAATTATGTCTAAGAACAGTAAAATAACTTTATTTCAGCCTGATAATTTTGTAGTAGTAAACGGACAGCCTGGTTTAGTCACTGATATAGGGGAGGATGGACTAGTAAAATTTAGGTCTTTCACTGACTCACGCAATTACATCGAAGATCCTTTCCCATCTAGTGATATAGGAATATTTATGTGCTCCGTAGTTAGCCATGAACACACATGGGTATTGGTTAAGGACATTGACTGTAAATGTATAGTCATTAATTGTATCAATTATTTAGTCATAGTTCCATTTTTGCATACTTTTATGTGAATGTATTTTGTTTCATTTGTGCTTAATTCATGATCATAAATCATTTCAGTACCTCTTATGTTATGTTTAGCCCGCTAACAAACAATACGTCATTGTTGACGTTCCTAGCAAGAAACAACTTATGATAGCAGCCAAGCAGTGGATTTTTGGCAAACAACTTTGCCTTTTTCCAACGGAGCTGGTCGATATCCTCCACCTGCACAACTGAAACCGACCAGATGACAATTGGTCAGTTCTGAAATGTAAAGGAATTCAGGAATTCGGTGAGTAACAAACATAGAAACTATAATTTAATACAGATTCTCTGCAGTCTGCAAAGGATATGTTAGTTTCCCTCCAAATACTGGAACTTCACCGTAAAAACACTTCAACGGAAGAAAACACCTTGCCATTCAACACTGAGAAGCCCAACAGGTTAGTACAATAATCTTACTAACATTTCCTAGAGGTGCATTGAAGCGTAGAGAAGGATTTCTTTACAATTCAGTAGACATGGATGTTGCCGAGATGCAGGCTGGAAATAGCCACGTACAATATCCGAAATTTCGGTTGTCTGACAGAGTCGCCTCGCCAATTGCCCATTACATTTCATCACTATTTAGATGTTAATGAATTAGTTCGACACGATTAGATACATCACCGTCAACATTAGAATCTAAGCATGTAGGCTGTGTTTCAGCGGCCCGGTAAGTCACCGGTACTATCAAGTGAAGTTTATAAGATTTGATAGGTTGTATACAATGGTGCAGAACATGTCGTCAGGTATCACTGACTTGAGTACAAATGTAAAGCTGTTACCAGCGAAGTTCAGTGAACGCGAACATCCGCATCAATTCGAATGCGGACTATCAAGTCAGCAGTTCCCTTCGTCATCTGAAGATTCTGGACACTGGTTTGCAGCAGGAAGAAACCAGGGACAGATTTGTAAATCAACACCATTAATTCAATAATTTGTTCGTATTACACATGGCAATGGTAACGAGATCAATGGATGATGATCCTAAAACCTCAATGCGATATGTTTTGTCGCATCTCATGACACCTGAGGTGACCAGTAATTTTACGCTACTTGGCACTTCTTCAAAACGAGCACTTCAGAAATACCGGTTTTACGGCTGCTTACGAAGTAACCTATATCTATTATCTTAACTCTAGGTGCATTAACAAATCGCTTTTTGTCATCCCCTGTCAACGAAAAAGACCTTGCGAAGCTGTACGATATCGCGACACAAGGTTATTCTCATGGTGTTAGAGATAAATTAATAAAGCGTAATGGGAGGAAAAAAGAACAGGTATGTACTAATTTAAAGTGATAACTTCCCTACTGCTCTATAGTTACAGTCAACAGTTTTAACGATCATAACCGTAAGTGAAGCTTCAAGTATCTGGCTGTGCCAAAGCATATCATTCAGATATCGTTGTAACTTCTCTTGTTCTTTACACTTCAGAACTCACAGGAAGATTATTTTCATTCTCAATAGCCGAACATGCGTGACTAAAGGAAGTAATCCGTGAAATGTCTTTTATGTTCTATTTGTTTTTTAATAAACGTTATTTTGTAAATGAGCTTACTTTATTACTTACATGGGGAACTATTGAAGTGTTGAGAA